TTCGGGTGCGCGACGTGGGGCCGAAGTGGTGGGCCCATGTCCCCATGGGCAAAGTGTCCTCAACACCCCATCCCCGGCCGTTGGGTCCACGGGGTGAAACACCAAACATTCAGTTGTTTTAGCAATGTAAAACAGCTTCAGGAGCATGAATCAGAGAGGGCCCCATCAGGATACCCGTTTTCCATTCCTGTGGTAAATGAGGCAGAGCTGGGAAGCTGGAAACCTGACTTGCAGCCTCTCCAGTGAGGAAATGACTGGGAAATGACCTGGAGCTCATATCAGGTTTGGTCTCCTGGCCCAGCTTGGTGGCTGCTGCCTGGTGCTGCCGAAGGGGCCACGGGGATGGGGAGGGAAGGGGACGGGCTGCCGCCCGGCTGCCCTCGCAAGGGGCGCCCAGCACCGCCGCCCCTGCACGCTGCTCCCTGCTGTGTACAGAATCACAGAGCCACAGAACGGTTGGGGCTGGAAGGGACCTCTAGGGAGCATCTAGTCCAACCCCCCTGCACACACAGGGACACCCAGAGCACGTGGCACAGGGCGGCATCCAGGTGGGTTTTGAAGATCTCCAGAGGAGACTCCACAGCCTCTGTGGGCAGCCTGTTCCAGGGCTCTGTCACCCTCACAGCAAAGAAGTTCTTCCTCACATGGAGATGGAACTTCCTGTGTTAAGCATAAGCATTAGCAAAAGTTAACTAACTCTCTGGGTGGCAATCGGTGGTCTTGAGTGGTTTTAAAGTCCAAGACCAGCTTGGTTTGCCAGTCTGCTGCATGCTGCTATCGTGGCAGCATCAGATCCAACCCTTCCTCCTCTCCATATGCTTCCACGCTTGCTGATCTCATTATCATTTTCCTGGAGTTGCATGGTTAATCATCGATAAGACTTACAAAGCATAATAAAAATTAATCAGAGAGAACACTGTCTTCTCCACATTACTGGTGTTATTGTCACATCTGTCAAGTTACTCGATATCCAAACTTTTTTATCGCTGTCATGACTTAACATACTGCAACTTACAAGGAGAACTGGAGTGTCAATTACTTCCAATTGACAACTATTTTATCAATAAGTTTCTTTCACAGAGATTCACATGAAGAATTTTGAACAGTCTGCCTCATTTGGGTGAGACTGAGTATCATGTGTTATTCTGCATCGTTCTTCCTTGGCAGATTTTTTTTCTCTCTCCCTTTTATTATGCAGAATATTTGCAGGAGGGGTTACATATGAATTCCAACCTACATGAACCATATGTGCATATCCAGATTTTTTTTTTCTTATACTTTCTGTGAAAAGTTAGAATGTAGTTCTCAAAAACAAGAAAAAAAATCATTTTGCTGTTAGATTAGTTTGGCCTCTTTTTTAAAACATATATCACTTTCCATCTGTCACACAGCAAGCATTTCTTGCATAGGCATTAATTAAAACGTGCTTTCCCCAGGAATGCTAATGAACCACGATGGTACAGGTAATTCGTTTGGTCATGAACATACACAGAAGCTGGAGCAAAAAGACTGAAGAAAACTGCAAAATAGAGGAGAATCAGGTTTCCCCTATGCAGTATTTCCTCTGCATAGTAGCTGAGAAAAAAATTCAGTTCTTTTCTCCTGAGGTGGTTAGCAGAGACCAGCTTTTGCCATTATTAGAGACTCTTCTAATGGATGCAATTACAGACAGATAAAAATCAGGTCTTTTCACTGAAATAACATTTTTTTATGGCTGAGTAGTAAAATGGGGGGAAAAAATGTTGTTTCCTTTACAGTCCTTTCAAAATGCAACCCTCCCTACTGAAGATTTTGATAGATGTTTCCATAGAATTCCTTAGTCTGGATGAATATCATCCTTTCTAGAAACTTGGTTGCATATTAAAAATTCACTTCATCACTTACTTAACTCTCATTCAAAGTACATTGCATATTCTTTAACATGTTTTACTAAAAGGTATGTATCCTGCTGCTCTGCTCAGATTCAACCTTACATGGTTTTAAGTAGATCAGCTTTAAAACCTCATTCCATCTTAAGTAGCTCAGCTTTAAAGATCTTTATTTTGGTCTTGGACTGATTTGACACCAACATGTAGCTGATATCTGACTAATTGCAATTCTTACTTACTCGCCAGTACATTGGTCAATTTTTGTTAGATAAAAAAGACTGAAACAAGCAGTTCAGGAGATAATACAAGGTCGTCTTCATTTTCACTGTCCTTCATACTTGAAGAACTGTCCCTGAACAACTTTGGCACCTGTAAAACACTCTAAGGACAGTCAAGTACACTTACTATTCACACAGTTCCAGCTCTCTGTGATTTATGCTAAGTCATGTTGTGGAGGAAAAAATCACCAGACCTTAAAACTGCTTGAGTTTATCCTTTCTTTCAAGGTTCAGTGATTTTTTTAACCTCTGTTCTCATGTTTTCAAAGCTGAAATGAACAAAATATAAGTGAATGTCTAAAAAGCCATTGCACCACTGTCTAGGCTTATAATAGTTGAATTAAAAAACCAAACAAACAAAAAAGGAAACAACACCAAATTTAAATAAATATTTTGATTAAAAAAATAGCTAAACACAAAACTAATCATTTACTGTATTTCAACCATGTACAAACTCACCGAGAAAGAGGAATAGAGCTCTGGCACTAGCAAGGCCTAGGCTGATAAGGAATAAGAAGGAAAGTGATTTCTGGAAAAGATGTGGTCACTGTCACCCGCTCACACACACCATGTGCACTGTTCCGGAATCATAAGTCATGAAAACAGAGTATTTTTATTTTCAGCATTTATTTTTAAAAATACATTTGTAAGTAAAAAAAAAATCAAATTAGTTAGAATGTATTGTTAAAAAATGGCATTTTCCCATGTTCTTTTCCTTTAACGACAAATAAGTGAAATACATATGCTTGGAAATGTTCCAAAA